CTTCCGATCTCCCCAAAACCCCAAAACCCCAGAAAGTATAAATTTGCGGAATAAACAGATAAATTAATTACAAATTTAAATACAAATGGATATAATTAACAATTTTTAAGTCTAAATCTTCACTCATGATCAAGATTCTATGAGTCCAATATATGCTAATAAAAAATCTCAGTAGACTATCTAGTTTGAAGCCAATTCCTCATAGAAAACTATCTGCTGTGAAAAATCATTAGGTATTTAAAATAAATGTTTGTATATATTTTAGAGTTCAATTTTACTTAGCCATGTCTAAAGAGATATGATGGCAAAATGAATCAAAAGTTTATGATTAGTCTTCGAAAACAAAGAAAAGATTAAATTCTTAGAACCCTTCGATTAAATAGAATCGAGCCTTGTACAGCTTTGTTCAAAGATGATGACCTTGACTAATTTGAAGTAAAACCATTAAGTTTGTCTAATTTTCATCAGAAATAGAATATTGATCTTAAGCAAGAAATAGAGCAACTCCTCACTTACAGTAAGTCCAGATAGTATACTAGATTAGACAAGATTCTTCAAAGAATAAGATACAGACTAAGATAGATAAATGAATCGGATATTGATATTAGAACTTAAAATAGAATGATCAATAAGCTAACACAGATCATAGTTGATCCCTATTAATCTGTGTCTATAAAGGTAATTTGATACTACTAATCATCATATTAGAATGAATGTTTGGGTATTTTCATAAATATCACTTATCTATGTGAGAATAGTTCTAGATACCTAAAGGATTCTCTAAACATTGTTGAGTCTTTGCTATAACTTACTAAGGCAAGTTATAACAATTCCAACTATGACAAAGTAAACTAAAACATACTATGGCTTTTGTGCAATTTGCTAATTGACGATGTTTCAACTTAGAGTTATTTGCTTTAGAACTTTGAGATTTTAGGGCTATTCAAGATTTACTTATCAATGGAGAAATATAGACATGATCACATCTGGATGCAGGTTATATCTTGGCTATTGTCGTTACTATCAAAGAAATTCGCACTTAAGAACTAATTGGCTTTTATGGAAATCTAATAATTTGTATTCCTTGCTTTGAAAGAAAGAAGACTTAACTCAGACGTCTATCATAGTTTGACTTTGTTTATCAATAATTTGGTTTGTAACATAGAGTATGCTACTCTAAAACATATGATCTGTGAAAACCAGCCTCTTTTGGTAAACTTGCTCTATTATATAGACTCTAAGGAAAGTTTCTTTAATAATTAGCTATTCTTTGCATTGATGTCATGTATCTATCAGCTATTGAAAGCTATTAAAACTCCAGATGAATATCATAGCTTCATTATGATTAACTTAGTAAATAAAGATGTCATCCAGAAGATAGCACTTAGATGGACTCAGCTCATTGCTTCTGAACCAAACCATCATTAACATCGAAACTTAGCCAAGACTATGCATTATCTAGTAAGGAAATCGAAGGGTCAGTTTAAACTTCCAATATTCAATTTGATTCTAGACAATTAGAGTATAATAAGCATTTTTACTCAGCTTTTGTTAAATCCAAACCAAAAACTAAGTCATTACCCATTCTAGTTTCAATCAGAGATCATGCTAATATCTAGGAAAATGCACTTCTAAGATGATAGGCATCTTGATAATTATCTTGAGCGTTCAAATATCATAGATGTTTTGACTAATATGATCAGCTAGTATCAAGTAATATCTTCTACTCAATTGTACTAGGCACTAGATTTCATTGTTTACTTTAATGAACTATATCCTCAGGAGTCAACTTAAATACTCTAGAATAATACTATATTAATAGATTCCCTTCTGATAATTTAAAGTCTAGCCAATAACTAGGATTGTACTTAGCTAGCAAACAAACTTCTTGATTAATTGAGCTAATGTGATTCACAAGATGTTGATTAAAGCTCTATTGATAGTTAAATTTTTATGATATGATCTTCATCAGACTTAAATTGCTCACCAATTATTCATTTGTAACTCTAACACTATAAAATAACTAATTACTTTCATAAAATTTTATTCAAATCAATAAATCTGGGGTTTTGGGGTTTTGGGG